GAGTCTTAACTTAAAACTCTTGAGTAAGAGTGAGTCTCACTGTTTCTTACCTCAGTGAGTCCGAGGAACTTGTGAACTTACCCCTTCTTGTTTGTTAGTGAAACGATCTAACCTCAGTTTCTTCAGTTTTTCCCGTCTTAAGGTATGTGGTTAGTCACTAACCGCCTACTAGATCCTCTTTCATTAACCGTTAGTAAAAGAGGCTCGTTGTTTCCAACTATCAAAGATGCTAAGTACAAAAGTAATCGATCGAAAGCTGCGCGACGAGCGAAGCGATGCAAAGAGCTCTCTCAAGAGAGGTTTTGAACCGCGCGTTTCAAGGCTCTGTTATTTGAACAGATTTTCTGCTGACTCCCAGGAGAGCTCCCGACATATTTCGGGAGCGCGTTAGTTGAACGTGATTCCAGGAGAACACTTCAAAAGCGCTATTCAGCAGCACTCTCAGGAGCCTGTTTTGTGTTGTTTCTTGAACACCCGGACTGATTGATTTAAGATCTGATCTCTCGAGTTCGTCCATCTCCAACTTGGAGACTCCAAGAATGCTACTGAGGTGGAGAGCGGGTCAGTGATGAGTCATCACTGATGACCTTTCATTTCTATCGGAGTTACTCACTCAGCTATTTTAGGGGTCTATTGGCATTACCTACTGGGTATTAGCATTATACGGTATTAATCGCTATCTGGGTGCTACACAGCGCACTGTAGCTGCGCAATTCCTTTCGTTTCTCCTGAGATCTCCAAATGCGTACGCCTCACGAATACTAGTGTGTCTCCGTGGAGGGCGCCGTGGAACCAGAATCCGAGTCCATCCACCCGTCCCTTCGAAGTGGCGTGTAATCTAGGGAGATCCTCCGTTCGAGACGCCCCGCTGCTTCAGGACCGCTGTCTCGACGTACAGAGGATCGATTCTCCCGTCCCTCCATCCTCAGGATAATGGTTTACTGAGCCCTACTCCGGGGGATCCGAGTGAGGTGAGCCTTACCGGGGCGAAAAAAACACCTGGAGTGTAACCAAGGTCGGGGTGGTATCTCAAGCTCATGTTTTTCTTTTAATATGCCACAGTCACATTATTTTGATGTTATTTTTTCGCGCCGAATCGTTGTACCGAATTCTCACCCATGAATCATTAGCGACGACCCGTTACCGACGAGAAGTTCGGCTGTGAATATATTCAGTATGGATTGTTGATATATACTCGTTGATGAATCGCCCCAGTTATTTTTCGATCTCTCGAAACATGAGTTGCTGAGAATATATCACGCAGTGTGCACTCAGTTACGATTTGAAAGCTCACTCTTCAATCATGTTGTTCAGAGATCCAATCCTCCACCTCGTATGCATCATAAAATTTTAAGAGGGTGTGTTTTTCTTGCAGCACTCTGCATATTGCCTCAGAATGAGGCACTGGCTAGGTTGAGAGAAACACAGAGAGCAACCAAGGATAGCTATAAGATCGTGAAGAAGGCGATAGAAAAATGACGCTGTCCTTAAGTCTCGGACTTCAAATTGAATCCTACAGCATTTCTCGGTTATGCATTCGCTGTTATTGAGAGTCAGAACCCAACCCCGATCAAGTATCATAGAGAACTAGTTACCATCACTAGAATGTAAACAACCACAGCCTAGCGTAGCGATGATAGGTTGAGAATCAACCACAACGGGACAGATGTCCATGAAGGACAGCAAATAACACAAATAAATTTCACCGACTTGCACAGTGATTTCCTAAAGTCACGCCTCGTATAATCCGAGTGTCTCAATTATATCAGCTGTGCACTTGTTCATCTGTCTCGATCACCGAGGAGATCCGAAAGCGCGCAACCGAAAATATTTCAATGATTCGTAGTATATTCAATACACTATAGCGGAAGCGTTCCATTCCGGAATAACGGGGTCTTTTCTGAATGCGAGGCCAGAAAACGCTGTTGAGTATCTTTGGCGCCACTGCAGGTCTTTGAAGAGCAAGTCAGAGGCAAGTCGTGCTATGAGAAATTCAAAAACCTGTATGAATAACGACATTTTTTGTGTCACGAATGAGTTGTGCGGCGGGAATGTGGAGATTACGGCGAATGCAACCTGATGGAGGTTTTGTTGCAGCATCATAGGCTATGATTCATAGCTTTATTTTTTCGATGGTCTTCAACTTATCGTCATTATACTACCCCAACCACGCGCTCAACTTGAGGCTCAAGGTGAGAGAACTGTTATAAAGCGTCTCTCAACTTTCGATCCAGCTCCTGACCAGTTGCTGCTTCGTGTATGGATTCCATCCTATTCCATCCGATTCTTTCCTCTGGATCACAGTTCTATACTATGGAACTGTGATCCCGAGGAAAGAACTATCCCTCCCCGTGAAATTTACTGGGAGACCTCATTCTATTCGCTGACTACTGATCCGTGCTAGTGCCAAGTTCCTTCCTTCAGGAGGAAGGAAGGAAACCCGTGCGACCTCACTTTGGGAGTGAATGTGTGGAGTCGAAGCAGAACTTGGCTCACACGAATGGACACATTCAGCTCCGGCTCATCTCAGGTAACAGCTCGTTGCTTGACGTTTTGCGACACGGCTCATAAGATGAGTTAAACTCATCTTTAGATGAGTTCTCGGTTATGCATCTGAGCTGGGCATCGTCATTTTTTTAAGTCTCTCCTCATATATCCTGAGTGTCACAATTATACCAGCGAGATTTTCGATTGTTCTTCGCTGCAGGTATTCGGAAAGAAGGTCACAGGCGAGCCTGAAGTCGTGCTACGAAAAGTTCGAAGGCCTGTTCGAGTCGCGACATTTGTCTCCTCTTAAATGATGTGTGTGACGGTCAATGCAATCCGATTGTGGTTTTTTACAGCCTCATAAACTTCAATTTTGTGCGTAATGAGTTTTTTATTTGGTGGGGGAACAGCTTTTAGCTTTGTTTTCTCACGATGGTCTCGAAATCCTTCGATTTGCCGTCATTATACTACCGTCGTCAAGTTCCTTCCTTCAGCAGATCTGTATCGAGGCGACCTACCTTCGACTCCTCACCCTCGTATTCAGAACACATGGTTTCATACTGAAACCATGGAATTTTAATGATACTGACTTTAGTGACAGTAAGAGTAGCGTTCCGGACCGGAATATCGAAAAAGACGATAACCGGAACTTCCGGTTATCGTCTTTTTTGCCATCGCGAGATATTATTATGATAGATATACTCTGAAAGATGAGCATAAGAGAGCGATCAGTAAGTTGACTGGCGCGTTCGGCCAGAATAACGGTGGGGAATTGAAAGGGAACATCCTTGGGCATGTTTTGAATCTTTTTTATCTAGCTTCTTTCAATGCTAGAGTTTCCTGTGTACGCAAGTAATGATTAGTAGTAGTAGTAGTACTGAAACCGCTACCCCAGAAGTGGGTGGCGGAACTCAATGATATCCCAACCAGAAGGCGGCTCGCGTAGCCGCCTCGACTCTAATTCATCTTGCATTCCTGATCCCGATATTGATGTTGATCTCGTAAGGGCTAGCCCCTGTAATATATCCGTATGTAAAACTATATCCTTCAACTCGTGCAAGTCGTCCGCCGCTCTCGAAGACCTACGCGCGAAGGTAGACCTCGCGGAGACCATCGTTCTGCTTCAGGAGCCCCCGTGGTGCTTGAATGATCGATGGGGTGGTTAAACCACCGTGGTTTTACCGTGGTCAAATCATTAGGTAAAGGCACTGGTGCCCAGGAGGCGCGGCCTAGGGCTGCGATCCTTATCCCACCTGGTATCCCGACTAAACGCGTAGTACCGGGTATAGATTTCGTTGCTCTAGATCTTTTCCACGACAACCGCTGGTTAACTTGTATTTCACTCTACATTCCTTGTGACAGTGAACCAGATGCGGTCCTAGAACGCATATCTGAGGCAGTCATGGATGCTCGATCCTCCGACGGAATAATCATGGGGATAGACACAAACTCAGCATCGGCGTTGTGGCACCCTAGAGTCAGTTTAGTTGCACCAAGAATGTGCGATAGAGGGGAAACAGTCGAGCTGTTCCTCAGTAAATGGGACCTGGAAGTTGTGAATGGGAACAAGGATTGTCCATCTTTCCATAACGCCAGAGGAGACATCTCGTGGATTGATGCAGCGTGTGTATCTGGGT